GCATACGGTGACGTCTCCATATGAGTGAAAAATTCTCGAGAGGGAAGTTAAACAATATACAATCAATCAATCATATAATAGTTTGCAGCTAATACAAAATGACAAATTTTGGATTCAATATAATTACTCTGCTCTAATTATGCAGATACATACGAACAATTCACAGTTTTGTTATGGTAACCAAAAACAAAATACTGGCCTTAATTGCCTGGAATGCACAATCACTGCATTCCTGATACTCTTCCAATATTTGTACATTGGCAAAGGGGGATCCCCGGGCTTCAAATGCTTTAAAGGGGGGTTGTCGAGGTGTACGCCGTCCCTCGCTAAATGTGACAGGTTTTGCCAGAAACCCCTGTGTCTCCAGAAGAAGATGTTCTCGAATGACTGGGACTTTTCTGCAAGGAGGCGGTTAATTTCGAAAACGGACTCGTTGAAACCCGCAGCATTAACAGATGGGTCCCTCCTAAGAAGCTGACCAATTATAACCCTCTTCGCGTCCAAACCATGAATCAGGAATTCGGAGAAGGAGATAATGTCTGTGACGATCTTTTCATTGGGTAAATGACCAATGTCATTGCCGCCTATTTGTAGAAAATAAAGTATCAGGCGTTCCGGGATTTCTACACAGCATCTGTCGAAGGCCACATGTACGTAGCCCGCCCTTAGCGCACACAGATATTTTGTAATTTGCGGGATCTAACTTCAAGTTCTTCAAATCTGTATTAAAGTTCATGAACTCCAAGAGTCTTCGAATGTAAGAATGTCCCAGCAGACAGATGTGCATAAACTGCATTTTTACAGAATCAGAATTGGGATCCACCCCCGCCATGTTTCGCCCATGCGGTTTACATAAACACAAGAAAATTGAACACTTCTAAGACGTACCTGACTTAAGTATCTGGTAATATAGTTCTTTAGTGCTACTTTGGTGTTCCTATGACAAGGAATTTAAACACTTACAAGCTTATGTGTCTCAAATGTCCGTAGGTATCTTTTTGATTTTTCACAGCTCTACACAGGCTACGGAAAATGGCGCAAAGAAACCAAAGTTTTTGATTGGCTCAAAAAATCCGTAAATATCCGACAGTGTAAAATTTAGCAAATTTCTCAAAGCTGCATAAATTGAATTATCTATGATAATATTGTTTATTATTGAAATAAAATAATATTTTATTTAATATAATATGCTGTATAATGTTCTCTGCGTGTGAGTGATAGTAATAATACTATTCCTTTTAATATGAGACAGATGGTGATACATCGTAATATTGTAATTCAAACAAGACCCCATCTATTCATCATATGAAACAATATTGAGAAAAGGGATGAATCTTAGTTTATTTAAGGAATGACTTTCTAGTTTTGGGAGTATGCAAGGGCATCAACAATAGTGGGAAACATGGGATAATTTGCATAACGGGCGAAGCCCTCCCAATCATTCTGTTTATTTGTCAACATTGTCCAGAACTTTTATATTGTTGGGGCTATGGCTTTCATATTCAACATAATTTATGTATTCTCTCAAGATCTTTCCAAAATATTTGATACCCTGACGTTGGAGTATGACCAGTTTCGGAGGAATTTACCCAATGTTTACCTTGTCTACAACGCGTGAAATTTTGTGCTAGGGGTTCAATACGTTACAGTGACAAGTCCTTTGCATGGATATATGAATTTATAAAATACATAATTTACCTTTTGAATTTCACCTTGGAATATGACCCACTTTAACATTGGGAATAACTTTTGAGCAGTTAATATTAGGACCTTAATGTTTCATGATTGTATTCAATTCAACAAGGCCTCCCTAAACATACAAACAATATTGAAATTTTGATCTTGGATGTTGATGTACTTTTGAAAAGCATTAACCATGACCATATATTTATAACAATTGGTCCTAAGACTTTAATATTTCACGTGTGTGTTTCTTGTAAGGCCTTCTCGTTTGTACCTTTTGTTTCACCTTTCCTTTCATTCAATTGACCTCCCCCATTATGGTCCAGCACTACCCCTGGGAGCCCTCATTTGAACCTGTATGACTTTGTACTACCTGAGAATGCCTCCATTTCAATATGATTAAACATGGTTGTTCTGTTCGTGGGAAAAAAATTCCTTTATATTTCTAGGCAAAACTTTGATCCCCAATTATGGCCCAAACTATCCAGCACCTACTTCCCGTTCATGACTTGAATAAACTTGAATCAACACTACGTGAAGATGCTTACTTAAATATATGACCATTCCTGGCTTTGTGGTTCTTAAAAAGAAGAGTTTTACAAATTTCAAGTGTATTCATTCATGTGAAAAACTTAAATCGTCCATTGCGGGGTCATGATTTGAACAAACTTGAATCTACTGGTACACTACCTGACTACCTGAAGATGTTTTCACATCAGTTTCATCTTTCCTGGTCCAGGGGTTCTGGAGAATAAGATTTTCAAAGTTTTTGCCTATACATTCCTATGTAAATCTTTGATCTTCACTGGTAGCTCAACCCTATCCCTGGGGGTCATGTTTAAAAAAAATGAATTTAAACTACCTGAGGATGCTTCCATATGAGTTTCATCTTTCCTGGCCCAATGGCTCTTGAAAAAGTTTTTTTAAAAGATGCCATTAATTTTTCATTAATTAATAATTATCTCTCCTTGCTGGAGGGCTTGGCCCTTCATTTAAACAAACTGAATCTCCATTACTCAAGGATATTTTGTGGCAAGTTTGGTGGAAATTGACCCAGTGGTTCTTGAGAAAAAGATAAAAAATGTGAAAAGTTTACGATGACGACAGCGACAGACAAATTTTGATCAGAAAAGCCTTTGGCTCAGGTGAGCTAAAAAGTGGTTATTAAAAAAAAACAAATTTGGTTTTGATACGTTTTTATTCGATTAAAACAATTCGACAAGCAATCAATGTTGAGAGATATTTTGACATCAAGCTCAGGGTTCTCCATGAGCTGTTTAACTGTGTTGCTCCCGACACAGTAAAATTTTCTCCGACACAGTAACTATTCAAATTTCATGCATGCGACGCAGTAAAAATTTTGCCGACACAGTAAGAGTTATATTAATTGTGATAATTAGAAAATCTAAACACACAAATTCTCTCTCACTGAAACTATAATCAAACAATTCTACCGTCTTTCAATTTGACAAGTGATAACACTTAATTATTAGGGTTCGCCTTGAGTAATCAATCAATTATCTCCTAGACCTTTGCCGGACTTTACGCATGACAGAACAAAGACAAATAAATTGTTATCACAATTCAATGAACCGGTTAATTGGTAGTAAATATCATACAAAAAGTTAATGCTAGACTTAAGTTTTTATATAGAAATGCATCCTGTCTTAGTACACAGACAGAAAGACCCTATGTTCTGCCTTGATACAATGTTATTTTGAATATGCCAGTTCTTCTTGGTATTGTGAAATAAACAAGCAACTGAAACACAGATTACAAGTAACCCAGAACAAAGTTGTACGGTTCATTTTAAACCTTAGTCCTAGAGAGAGTATTTCTAATAATATTTTAAACTCTCTAAATATGTTAAGAGTGAAGGATAGGGCTAAACAATTAAGATTAAATCAGGTTTTTAATATATATCATGGTAATGCACCAGCGTAATTACCTCCATGAACATTTTGTTTTAAATAATAATATCACAAGAAGTGCTACAAATAAGAATTTTATTATACCAAAGATAAAAGGGAAAGAGTCTTCGTGTTTTTTCTATAATGCAATCAAAGATTGGAATTCATTGCCCTTGGAGATTAAAGAGGTGAAAACTAAACAAAGTTTTAAGAAAATTGTAAAATCTTATTTATCTACAAATACTAGTGTTACTACATAAAAATGTTTGTCTAATTTTATTGTTTATTTACTATTTTAGTATCATAAGCATTTTGTGATAATTACCAAGAGAAAATATGCTACTGTAAACATGTCATTTTTCAAAGCATTATGCTATACTCATAAAAGTACCTGCCAAAATTCCAATGTTTATGTAATTTTGTTTTTTTTTTTGTTTACTAACATGGCTGTTAATTGAGGACCCCGTTGGAAATAAGTTTTTTAATGAGGCTTTTATGGACTATCCTCAGGTAATATTTATCAACTGTATGTCATGCAATGTATTTAATAATAAATACATATATATGTTAAATTGATCTTTCTTAATTAGCATAGTGCTGAGATAATGTGTGTGTATTTTTTTTCTAGCAGTATGCTAGTCTTTAATGTTTTAATTTGTTAATCATGACATTCTGTGATATTTTTACATGAATAAAATGAAATGAAACATTACATCGTACCGAAGTCATTTATGATGTAAATAAATGGCCGAAAACCTTTTTTGTAATGCAGTAACTCGATGAAGAAACCTGATAAATGAACACGACAAATCTACTTTCAAAAACGTTAAGTAGTTTGACTATCGGTCAGAATTTCCTCTGCTTTTCAGAACGTTTTTTTTCCCTTATATCAGTATGTACGACCATATCATTTGTGTAACGAATTAGCGATTTTTAAATAAGTCTGTGCTTGTAATCTTTTGTAATTAAAATGAATTGTAATTCAGTTGCGAAATTTATTCGCGAAAATACCGCGAAATATTAGTGCTTCGCGTAAACTCTGCAACACAGTAAAATCTGAAATGATGGAGAACCCTGAAGCTGTTAAAATGCAGAGTGGCCCATTACTATAACTGAACGAACACTTAAAACAGGATTTTACCTCAGAATTTAAATTGTAAAATTCTACACAAGGTTAGGAGAAGTCTACTACTGCACCCAACTTAACAATCACACATAAGACTGTACCCGGTACATGAAAATCATAAGGAATTTATATAAAGAACAATGGTGTGCAACCATCTTTAGTACACGTGTAGATGCTTTCCTCCCTTTTAATTTACTGTTTCACATTCTAACATCCTTGTGATACTTCACTTTGAATTTGATAAAGACGCACTTTTAGAATACTTGCATAAGAGGTATACTTGATAAAAGAAGTTATTTTATGTTGATATCTAAGCCATGGTTTCAGTAGAGTTTTTTCTTCATTTTCTGTGCATGTATCTACAATTGCTCCGACTCTTTAATTCACAGTTTTCAGAGATTGTTCAATAACCTGCAAAAAGATTAAAATATGCAAAAATTAAACCTAGTTATAAATTATTTGAAAATACATGTAACATTCTATGAAGCTGAAATGTATGAAGAAAACATATGGCTGGACCGGGAATCGAACCCGTGACCCCTGCATTACTAGTCAGGACTCGGGTGCTCTATCCACTGAGCTCTCCAGGCAGATATCCACAGTCCGTATAGCTCGAACTTCTTAATTCCCCCCCCCCATTAAATAGTCTTCGACCTCGAAGACTTAAGTTCTAGGGCCCTGCAAGGAATTATTAATTTTCACAAACACTATAACCTGAACAAAACCTCCCACACTGGCCACCAAATGTAGTAGGAAAGGAGAAATGCACAAAGAAAACATATGGCTAGACCGGGAATCGAACCTGGGACCCCTGTATTACTTGTCAGGTGCTCTAACCACTGAGCTATTCAGACCAATATCCACGGTTCGTATAGCCCGAACTTCTACAGTAGTTATTATCCCCCCTTCCCATGTGCTTCAAAGGAGAGGGTGGTATATTGTTTCAATCCTGTGTGTCTGTCTGTCCATGTGTCTGTCAGTAGCAAAGTTTTGGTGTCAGTTTTTTCAGAACTACTCATTTCAAATGCTTGAAAATTTTGCACATACTGAGGAATGCTATCTGAAGTCAACTTCCTGTTTGTGCATCTGTCCATATCATACAAAAGAATTTTTTATAACAACTTTTTCAGCAATTAGGCATTGAAGATGATTGAAACTTGAGCACATTCTTTGCTGAGGCATGCAATATAGCAGGATTAAATTCATTTCTGTATTCTTACTATTTCCCTGCATCTGCCCTTTATTGAACTTGCTTAACATTAACATGATACTAAGTGTATATTCACATCAGAGTGAGGGTATTACTATTGTGCATTGGCTCACATACTTTTTTTTATAGCTCTTTTAAAATCAGATCTGGTATTCCTGTTTAAACTTCACTAGTGCTGGTTAATACAGTGTAGTGCAAATTAAAATGAGGAAATATGCCTCATCATTATTTTGTTTCATAGATCTTTAAGACAAAAAAATGTTGAAATAAAATTGTATGTAATGTGGGTTACACAGTTAATGACCTTGAAAACCGAATGAAATTCTTAGTAGTAGCTAATATAAATAAACATTAACAAGGCAAGAAAATGATGTATTTATATTTGAATTGATAATCGCAGACCTGTTAACCCATATCGATGTCTCTCAGTATTTTTACCTAGATTTGTTCGTGAGATTTGGAATTTCCCAGTAAAATCTCACTTTCCATCGATTTTACAAATATTAATAGAGATAAACTTCTTTTCTGATTACTAAAACATGGTTTTAATAACATGATTTTTGTTATTTATTCCAGTTTTATGCCAACCAGACATAGCTTCTGTGTTTTAAATTTTAGCGATTAAAAAGAGTGAAACTGAGACAAATTATAACGATTGATTGTATATCGTATAACGTCCCTTTCGAGAATTTTCCACTCACATTGAGACGCCATCACTCGCCGATAGAGAGCTGCAAATGTTGACACTAACATGGTACTCTGGGCCATTGAACAGGTCGGATCTTTTTGTGCCAACATCTACTTCGACCTCGGTTGATACGGTCTCATCTGAAGGACCGGTCTCCACGTCCGAAAATGGGATTCGAACCTTCGACGTAAGAATACACTTCCTATTTCGCGACTCTAGAGCAGACGCTCTCACCACCAGATCATAACGAAAACTATCTGCTAAATTCCAATCAAATGTATTCCGATTTCCGTATGTTTATTGGCAAAACGTGAGACGTATTTTGGACTAAAAATCCGTACAAAATTGAGCGAAATCGTAAGAGTAAACAGGTCTGTAATCGTCCTTGGGATAATTTAAATTTGATCAGGATTGGTCAAAATATCAACAAAAAAAATATGCCTTAAATATTTTGCATTTCAATTTCATTTTTTTAAATGACTGACTACTAAAATTGCTCATTTTAGTTGTGAAAATAGTTTTATGAAGATTTTAACCATGCAATATAGACCTTCATATTTCACTTATTAATAAACATCAAATTTGAAACCATAAGCATTTTGTTTGCAAGTAAATGTTTTTAAAATTATTTTGTCTTAAAAAATGTCCAATAAATTGAATAAAATAATTAAAAGCTAATACCCAGATCTCTCAAGGCTGATACAGGCATAGTTTAAAAGGGATGTCTTAAAAGATCTATTAAAATTCTGGTGTGGCATTTTTCCTGCAATGGGGATCTACAATATGTAGTACCTCTTTCATTGAATCAGCTGTTAGAACATATCCTGGCCTTGAATGAAGTAGCTCTTTATGTTCATTAAGGTGTGGCTGAGCCTAAAATAAATAAGCACAATAAGAACCCCTTCTACTGTAGTGACAAAAACATAAAAAGACTGTTTACTGTTACAACATTGTTTATCCTGGAACTTTGTAAAATACACATAACATATATATATAGCTTAAATATTTGATCAAATAAATTAAATTATTCGGTGTAAATTATATAATTTATTTTTTTGATTACTATATTTCCAATAGACCATTTATGTATCAATAACCTTGTAATCATTGTTAGATGATGTCTTGTATAATTTTTTTTTCATCAAAGACATCTTTATTCCAATTTGTTTTCTGTTTACTTTTAAACTCTTTATTATTATTATGAAATTTCTAAATGACAAAAACTATGAATGATAGCCTGCATAATGAATAATAAATTACAAACCTGATCATATTTCCTGTTTTGATTGCCAGCTAGATTTTCATCCTCTTTATATTGTTTGAGCATCCAACTTCATGAGACAGGCAGGTGCATACAGCTAAAAGTTCAAATTGAATTAAGTTTATTTGAGCAGATAATCAAAGGCTATATCATTCATCCAAATCTTGTTTTAATATAGTTTTTTTTTAAAGTTCTGCTTGTTAAAATAATTTAAGCATCCCCTAACCCATTTTTTAAATCAAAATTTTTATTAACATTTGTTTAAATATTAATCATGTTATTAAATCCTAGTAAAATAATTTATTCAAAGACCAAAATGTGCACTTTAAAATAATAAATATTCCATTATACATACTAGTAAACACTGACTGTACAATACTCACAGGTTCCAGGAAGAACGAGTCCTCTAGCCTCTGTGTACATGTATTTTTAGAACACCATTAACTGGGATCAGTCTGTTGGACTTCTGCTTCTCATGGAATGAATTATGATTTACCAGATTTTTTTTTTTAAATAAGGAACTTGACACCAAATTTCTTTTTCGTACATCACTTAATCATTGTTTTGTTTCAACGGCAGTGAAAAATGTGTGGAACAAATTTCCCTATTTTCAGAACTGGACGGCAAAATACCACAATCTGTTAGTATTAGGTCCTTATTATTCATATCAACTGAATTCAAATTAAATATATCTTCTGACAAGTGGAATTTATAATAAAAACGAAACAGCAAACCAATCTGAAAGTTTTCTGCTGGCAATTTTCTGCTGGCAAAAGACATTCCTTTTTTCACAGGAAACACAAAAGATCTACACGAAGGGAAATAACTCTTGATAAAATTTAGCACTTTTCTCTTGAAAAACAGCAAATTTACAAGGCTTTATTGTCTTAACTTTAAATAACACAACTCCAATTTTTTGAAGGTTAACTTATATATCTAAAATCATTTTACATTGAATTGTGTTGCTGCGTTTATGAGTTTCAGCCACATACGTTATAAAGGAAATAATAGCAAATGTGAAAAGTATGACTTGCTGGTATCCATAGAAACAGCTGTATACCGTCATTTTGCATATACCAGTATGCTTAACTAGTAGTATGTATTAATTTTCCAAAGTTTTATTAAAATCGGTGACTATGGCTTCCATCAAATTTTGGGGTTTTTGGTTTATTTCTTGTTAGATAATCAATGTTAATGCAAATTCTAAAATATCATAAATTAATAAACTCATCATAAAATAAAATGTCCGAGAACAGAAAAGAAAAATTGTTGTTGTGTTTCAATATCTTTCAAAGTATCTGAGATTTAAAGTACATTATCCATTTGGAAATGGGAGCGTAGCAAACGCAGACTACCAAAGTAACACAGGTCATATAAGGTGCCATTCAGGAGAGATCATACACTGCAGACCGGTTACACCTGCCATGTTCATCTTTGTCAAATTCGAAAAAGAACATGGGCAACTCAGTGTGAAAGTAATAGACGTAAAATCATTATGAAAAGCCAGTCAGCATTTGACTAGATATAGTATTTGTTGACAAGTTCATTTTAGCAACCTTAGAACCTAAAAAATATAGGAATTTAGTCAAGACTACTGATATTCTTTCTTTATTATTTTATTATCAAGAACCTACCTCTTTTTTTTCAATTGTTTATACGTAGAACATTAATAGCTCTTCTGCATCAATTCAATTGAGATATAAACTTCGTTCGCAAATGATTTTATTGCTGCACAAATGAAGGAATGTGACATTATAAGTTAGTTAAATCCATCACGTTCATCGCGCGCTTAATTTGCGTTTTGCTTAATTTGCACTTAATACGAGTATACGGTATTTCAGCACTCCAATTTTTATATCACTTTATCTGACAGTTCATGTGAGGAGTGTCCTTTGTCCATCTATAAACTTTTTTTAATATTCAAAATCTATTCTATATACTTAGTTGTTCAATTGGAATGTCGTACACTACTAAACAGGAAAACAAAATATAATTAGTGAAAATATTGTTGCAGGTCTGCATTCTTTTCAAAATCAAAAGCAGTAACGATAGCTTTTTGGTATTGAGATCAATATATGTTTGGGAGTCCCTGCTTTAATTTTCCAATTTTGTACTACGTCGAACTGCATACGTTCTTTGTTAAACTGTAAAACCTGTAACATTTTGATAACTTACACTTCTTTCACCAGTTATCTTAATGGACAGAGCTTCTATATCGAAACTTGGGAAATCTTTCTAATCCACAGTGTAACAATGTAAATGTGATGGGACGTTTTAATCATACACAGAGACGTTACCGTAGTCTTGGCCATCAGTCTTACAATAAACCTTTAATACATGATGTCTCTTGATTCATCACTACTCTATGTAAATCAACAGTTACATGTTGGTCTACATCATATTCACAACAAACGTTTTTCTGTCCCTTTGAAACTTTTAAATACTCCTGTTGAAAAGGTCAAGTAAAGCCCTTTTTTTATTCCTGGACCCCAGGATATTTAGGCTCAGATCCCTGATTTTGGATATTGCAAATCATAGGCTTTTAAACCCCAACATTTTACCTAAGAAATTGCAGCTGAACAATACGGCTTTTCAATAAACTTCAATATGCCCCCCAAAAATGATGCATTTAATATAAGTAATATTCTTAAACACAAAAAGCTCTTGTCTTGTACTCCACCATATTTCAGATATGGAACTACACCTTATATTCCATACAAATATACATCGAGCATTGCTTCAAAACATTTTAATTACAAAAACATATATGACCTGGATACCGCGTATCTAAACGATAATCCTTCCTCGTATTCATGTTTTCTTCACCTTATAGATATAGTCCTGCTTGACACGTTATTACATGTGACATAAATACCGTTAATAGTGAGGATCTTAGATCACGCAGTACTGTAAACCTTCCGGAGCTTAAAATGCATTTAAAACGTAATACTGCATTGCAAAGTTGATTTTTTGAGTTTTATTTTTAAGTTTTCTACTTATGGAAGCTCAATTCAAATAGAAATTTCTCTAGGCTGTACATTAACATATTTGGTACGATATCACATGACCTTGTTGATCACGTGACGGTCATATCATCTTTTTTTAGGAATGTTTAAGATAAATTGCTTCGGCGCAGTTTATTAACACTATTATTATTAACTTTTTGTCACATAAATAAACTAGTTGCACCCTTGTGAACCCAAAATATGACTGGGAAATGTTATACTATTTCTTTGGTATAATTTATTTCACATTAACTTCAATTTAACATAGCGACAAATCTGGGGGTATTTTCCGCTCAATATCGATATCTGTTTTAAGGAGGAATATATGTCCGAAAAGTTTTTTTGTGAAATTTTTTAAACTTTGGCATTTTTTCTGACCACTTGCTTTTAATTTTAAGGTATTAAAAACAATACCTTTATATGCTTTTTTTGTACATGAGCACGTGCAAAAAACAGTGTGAAATGCTAAAAACAGATTACATGTATTTTCAGACATAATTGTTCTTCCCAAAATATGCTCTAAAAGGAACCAAAATGTTTTAAATTTATATGACTTGTATCTTTAGAATGAAGACACATTTATTGAAATTCATCTCGCATGAAAAATTATAATTTAAGCATCACGTATTTTTTCTTGTCGTAATTTTTCTTTTTACAATTCCGACATGCATAACTGGTAAAATCTTAATACTTCGTTGTTTGAAAATGTTGTAATTCATTTTTTTTTAAAGAAATTCATATTTTTTTAACGAAGAAAAAAGTATATATTTTGATAAAATAAATAAGAATTATGACGCTTCCTTTTATTTTCGTACTTTTATGTCATAAATGCATGACTGCATTGACCTTTCTGCACTAAGAAAAGGAAAGTAAGCACTGTTAAAAGTAAGCACTGTTAAACCTCCGAATAAAAAAACTTTTTTTTGGCGAAAAACGAGTATTTTGTTTTGATTAGAAACAATTCAAACTACTTCTTTTCTTTTTCCTTCCAATCATTCTTTTTTTCTCCCTCCCCCATTTCCCCGTCAACAAGCAACACCCATAATATTCTAGGAATGACTTTATAAAATAAAATCTACATATACTATAAATTAAAAAAGCAAATATAGGTACATAAGGCCGTTTACACCATGGGAATGTAGGGTAGATATATCAAACAGTATTCAATATAAAAGTCCATAAAACAATACAGAGTAAGAGCAGAGCAGACACGGATCTCCAAAACATCAGAGGTTGGATCAGGTGCCAGGGAGGAGTGACATCCTTTGCCGACCGGTCGCACCCGCCGAGTGTTCCTTGTCATGATTGGGAAATATCGGAAAATCCGTCGTTGATCCAATGTATAAATAATGGACTATTCATTAGAATGAAAAACGCCTGTCACCATTTAACTCTACTTGAATGATAAATTGTTTTTTTAGTCATGGTCATTGTATTGACCATATAACTGAAGTAATGATGCCTTGAATCGAGACGGCTGATATCAAGTGTTGGAGTAATTGCTGACAAGGACAGCCGGGATGGCTGTCTTTGCTTACCTAAGGAACAAATATAGGTGAAAATTGCAGCCCTTCTCACACAACTGACTAAATACCCTATTCATACGACAAAAGTTTTCTTATGTGTGCAAAACCTCAGGGAAACCAAAAAAAAATGTAAGTAAAACCTCATGTTTTTGTATACAGTAAGGAGATGGACGGATTCAAAATTGTGAATTTGAATTATGAAATGGGTATTTCCTAATTACTGTTTGGGTAGAAGAAAAACTTGAGAAATTTCCTAAAAGAAATCAAGGGTGTGTCCGATCTACTGGTTTATTGATAGGAAAAAATAAACTTAATGCCTTCAAAGACAAAGAATGGTAGAAGAATTTACTTACAAAGAAGGAAAATTTAATATCAACTTTTTGTTTAATGTTTGAAAATGTTTTGGCCTTGGACCTAAAGACTGTAGCTCAGCCGTTGGATGTAAAGAAAAATGTGACTGTTGCCATATACTGGTTGACGTATTCAGCAGACTTGGGACTATATTCGAATCTTTTTGGT